ACTCGCAGGCAGCCTGAATTTTATTTTCTTCATCACCTGAAGGCAAAAATCACCCCAAACGACCAACCGTCTTCATTTTGTCCTTGAATTCTCTGTGAGAGAGCCTCATGAAAGCACAGAGGGATTTTTCCTGTAACTGACACTGTCATTTGCTGTAAGGATCTGATGCACTTTAATCTCCAGGTTGTTCACTGCATTTCCACTTCCCCAGGCACTTGTGCTGCCTGTGCCTCTCGTGCTGCCACAAGCATTGCTGTGCTTACAGATGCACCTGAGCACACCTGAGCTGCTCCTGTCAGGAGATAATCTGCCATTCTGGTTCCAGGCTGTGCCAAAAATGTCTTAGAAACTCGTAAATACCAAGCACCACATTTATACCTGGATGTCTTTTCTTTCATTCCAATTTTAACAGTTTATGTTGCCTCATTTGGTAACATAAAAATTCTGCTAACCCTGTTGTTCGTTTGGTTTTTTTCCTACATTTCTATATCTTTTTCCAAATTATTCAATGTCAAAAGGAAGGTGGAAAAGTCTACTTGAAAGATTTGAGGAGCTCACTAGTTAAAAACTTCCAAAGGTAAACTTTTCCATGTTTGCAAAATCAAGTGAAAGAGATAATCCAAGTGCGATGGCTTGATAAGGCTGATGATTACAAAAAGCCAAATGACAATGAAAATAAAATAGAGCTTTGAATTAAGACAGCCTAATTTTATTTCCCTTCTCCCACTGACTGGCTCTAATAACTTTTAAGGACAAAGCTGTTCTGCATGACCACACTGGGATTGCATCCCCTGCTGAGATGTGAGTCCTCCTCTGCATTTTTGGTGAAATATAGTGAAATTAAAATGACTGATAATTGAGTTTGTGAAACAGCTTGGCAATCATGAAGGTGAGCCTGGCTTCCATACAGCCAAGAGACTTGCTGGCATTACTTCTTGTTATATTAGGAGGAAAAAAGTCAATTCCAAGATAACATTTCCTGGCTGATCTAAGGCCTGGCTCTCCTTACATTTTGTTTAACCTGGCTACAGATATTTGATGGGATGTGGACAGAAAATTGAGTGGAGGATCAAGTCTTATTCCTGGAATTGCTTCTAGGGCTACTGAAGTAAATTTCTCAGTTCGATAACATCAAGAAAGCTTTAAGTAAATGAAACATCTTGTATTGTGGTCAGAGACATGAAAGGCACCACTGCAATAACCAAAGCAGTCATATTATCAAGAAATATGCCAAAGGAAGCCAGTAGCATTCTCATTTGGAAAGAAATAAATAAAAAAATAAATCGTAATCAGAATTCAGGAAGGGAAAATTGATCCCATTTTGAAATCCATAAAAGTGTATGTAGGAATAAAACATCTTAAATGCAGTTAACACCTGCAGTCACTATTTCCTTTCTACTGCGTGCTGGAGCCTCTGTCTGCCTCAGTCCTGTAGAAGGTGATAATTGCTTGCTGCCAAAACAAAAAGAATGGCAAATAATTATTATTCTCATGATAGTGAGAAGGTTGATTTTTTAATTTATTTTATTTCTTGCAATGAAGGAGCACGTGAACTCCATTTACTCAACTCCCTGTCAGAAAATTAGCTGTTACTCTGGTTTTTTTCCTGCATTTTTCCAATCCTCCTGGTGCAGGGGCTGCCACTGCAGCAGCACAGGGATCCTGTTACCCTCTGTCACACCTGCTCAGACCCAAAGGGACATTTATGTGCTGAGACACCACCTGGTGAAGCTCAACACATCCCCAACACAAAGCCCTGCTCTTCCTGGTCTTGGGGACAAGGGTGGGAGCTGAAATTCTGATGCAAAAGACACCTCAGGCAATTTTGTGTTTATTTACTGGACTCATTGATTGAATAAGCATATTCCATTTCAACAGGGAATGTAGTCAGTAATATTTAATGAAAACATTTGCTGAACTGTGTGATTTTAGCATGTTTTTTTCCTCATTGCCTGTTTTGCAAATGTTAATGTGAAAGTCATAAATGAACAGAGGGCCAATGTAAGTCATTGCTACTGCTTGTTAGAAACCAATTGAATACGTGATTAAACAATGTACAAGCCTTGTTCTAATCCCATTCATGCAAGGAATTTTATTCCGTAGAAATAATATTTTTATAGGAAGATCATATATAGAAAGCATGTCATGAGAGATTTATCAACAAACTCAATTAAACTAAAAGCTAGAATGCCTGTACTAGCAAAATTGTACAAGAGAAATTGCTTCATGAAGTTAATGGTAATGCATTATATCCAGTGATGATCCAGCCTTCCTTCTGATTCAGGCTAAGATTTAAAAGGGGAAAAAAACCCCAAAACAAAATCAGAATCCTTTTTTCTGTATAAACACAAAAGAATATGACCCTTTTAATCTTAACATAGAGGCTCATAGAGCTCTTACTAAAAGCAAATCCCAGGTGTTTATTGCTGGTAGGGGACAATGGATGGGCATGGTCAGGAGATGAAGTTCCCCCAGTGAGATTTTCTGCAGCCACCATAGCAGAACCCATTGAGGGTTCATCCTTCATCCTTTCCAAGTAGAAAAACCTGCTGAAGTACTGTAAATACCTTTTTCCCAGGTAGAGGATGGAGGTGGAGGAAACAAAGATCACAACTAATATTTATGAGATATGATTATTTTTTGCTAATAAATAATATTGCTGATAGAATGCGATCTTTCTAATAAACGGTATTGCTAATAGAATACAGTCTTTCTTATTAATTACAGATAACTGCACATCCATGCACTCCCCCAAAAAGCTCACTCCAGCCACGTGGAGAGCCCCAGTGACAGCAGCAGTGTGGCAGAGGCTCGGGGGTGTGGGGGGTTCTGGTCTCTGTGTTTGAGTAAAGCAGCCACCACCTCCTTGGCTGTGCTCCACTTTTAATGCTGCTGAGCACTGCTGCCTTTGGACAATTTCAGCAGATGTGGTGCTTTACCCATTTTTGCAGGTTCAGCCAGGCAGTCCCCAGAGCTCACCAGACCTTGGAAGGCTTTGATAGAATCAATTAGGTTGGAAAAGACCTCTGAGGTCACCAGGCCCAACCTCTGACCCAACACCACGTTGTCACCCAGACCTTGGCACTAAATGCCGCGTCCAGGCTTTCCTCAAACACCTCCAGGGGTGATGGCTTCACCAGCTGCCCAGGCAGCTTTTCCCAGTGTTTGACAGCCCTTTCTGTGAAGAAATGCCCTGAATGCCCAGCCTGAACCTCCCCTGGCTCAGACTGAGGCCATGTCCTCTCCTCCTGTCACTTGTTGTCTGGATTCAGAGCCTGTCCCCTCCTCTCAGGGAGCTGTGGAGAGGGATGAGCTCAGCCCTGAGCCTCCTCCTCTCCAGGCTAAAAAACTCCCTCTCTCTTCACATCTCCTCTCCCTCTCTTCTGGCACCTTCCTGTCCATCCCCACTCATCAGCAGCTCTGGACTCAGCTCACAGGACTTTGCACAGAGGGTTTGAGACCCCCTGGACTCCCTGAGGGCTCACACAAAACTCTGTGTGATGGGGGAAATGCCACCTGTGCCCCTGCCAGGGCTCACACAAAACTCTGTGTGATGGGGGAAATGCCACCTGTGCCCCTGCCAGGGCTCACACAAAACTCTGTGTGATGGGGGAAATGCCACCTGTACCCCTGGGGGCACACACAGCTCTGTGTGATGGGGAAAATGCCATTTTTACCCCTGGGGGCACACACAAATCTCTTTGATGGCTAAAATGCCACCTGTGGCCCTGGGGGGCTCACCCAGGGCTGAGGTGCACACTCACAGCTCCAGCTCGGCACTGAAGGCACAATGGTCATTTAAAGTCAAGATTAATTTCCCACACCCTGCTGGATCAACACATCCACAGCCAGTTTTGGGACAGGCACCTGAACTCAAGTAATTCATGCATGCTGAAAAGCCTAAAGAGCTTCCATTTGAATTTATTTCTTATTTTTTAGGAACCCTTTCCCCCCACCTATTGGTGATATCATTGCTACTTGAGAAATAAAGACCTCTGCATTTTTCTTGGGGTACAGCTGGGTCTTGGCTTGCTCACACTATTCATTACAAGACGAATAAAAATGTTGATTTTGCTATTTGAGCACTGCCTGCTTGTTAGTTTTTTCCATGTTAAGTACTGATTGCTGCCTGTTTGTTGAAAGACAAAAGAAAATCAATACAAGTGTTGAAAAGGAACCTTGAGTATTCAACTTTGCAAACAAGTTCTTAAATAAGCACCAAGAAAAGTGGTAATAGAAAAAATATGAATGCCTGACTTAATTAGCAGTGTTCACATGAGGAATATTGCTTTTTCAAGTATAAAGGACCAAGTGGAAAAAGAAAAAAAAGTATTTCCAAGGAAACTAAAAATGGAATGATCCCATACATTTACATTTCAGATATGGTTATATTCAACACTGACATAAATTATTTTCTGTACAGAGGAAAATTAAGAGAAAAAAATTAATCCCTCATACTTAAAATATAAAAATTAAAGCATGATTTTTATTTTAGTCATTGCCAAGAATTATTGAATCACCTGTATAATCTTTTAGCTTCTAGCCTTTGAATATCTCAGAGCATTCATCTGGGCATTCTGAAGATGAAGAAACTTTAAATAATTTATGATCCTCTCGGGGAAAAAAAAAAGGTAAGTCTGCAATCCTATGTTTTGGTGGTTTTCTTCTTTTCCTCTAAGCTAATTTTACAAAATAACCAAAATGTATGGATATATTCCCTGCCTGCTCCTGAGTTAAGTCACCGATATAAAAATAAATAGAGGAAAAAGGTTGGATACTGACTCATGGAATTGAACATAAATTAATTGTTTGGTTCTTCTGTATTAATGTCTATAAATTTCACATGGATTTTCTCACTGATTTCTAATTAGTTGTAAGAATATATTTTCTATACCTGAATTGATATCACAGTATATTAAAAAATATAGAGTCTTTTTAGGTAAGGAGCAAAACACATCATTCACATGAGAAAAACTTACCTAAAAGGTAGAATTAATGATGTCTAGTTCCATTTCACATATAATTTCAAAGTTGCTTGCCAGGACAGAGCTGCCCAGCACAATTAGACTTTCATGTACTAACGAGAGCAGGAAGAGCTGCCAGCCAAAAAAAAGATAAGCCAATCAATCCTGAAACACAAAAGAGTTTTCTGTGAGGATGAGAAAGGAACATCCAAGGAGGAGCTGGGGAAATAAGAAGCCACTGATGGGGGTTTGTTCATTGGCAGCATTTCCTAGGAAATAGGGGAGAACAGGGAGAAGGACACCAGCTATTAGACATGGATATTTACCACTTCTCTGGCTTTCAATTACAGCCTTATAAATATTTGGATTCTTAAGAGAAACAAGAGTGCAAATAAAGAGTCAGAAGAGCTCCAGTGGTGTCCTACAAGAAGCTTTAAGCTTCAGGTCTCTTTCCCAATCCTTTGTCAATTTTTCATCCTCCTCCCACTTCCCCAACTTATTTTCTTATAGTATTAAGTCATTTAACTGCTGCTATTAAATTCTCAGTTGAGAAATTGGTAGGAGAGAAACCTGCTTGTACTTCCTATGGATATTTAAATAGGGGGCACCAGAATTTAGAAACCAGCCAGAGAATTGTCCTCTGGAGACTGGTGTGGAATCATGTAAAGAGTGTTTGGTGTGTTAGGAGAGTTTTGTTAGCACCTGTCTTTATAAAGCTGACACAAAGGAGCCACACTCTGGGTTAGAATCAGTTAATCTTTTGGTGCAAATCAACAAAATTTGTCTGTTAGAGTCACTGGACAAAAAATGGTATCTTAAGACACAGTTATTCCTTTACTGCACTGTAAGAAGATATTTATCTAGAGCTGATCTTGCACAGAATAGCCATTACTCTGGTACTGTAAAACAGTGGTTTTGAACACTCTTTACAGAGCACAAAAAAATAATTTTTCCACATCACTTTCAGCCCCAGCCAGATTTAGCAGTTTCAGAGGTACCTTGGTAACATGCCACCAATATGTACCAAAAATGAGAGAAACTGCTGATCCAGAAAGCCTTTTAATTCAGGCAATTAAAGAGGTACAGTTCTGAGCAGAGCAGTTTGTGTTTATACTCTACATGTTATGCAATTAAAAAAAATAAATCAAAAGCTCTTGGGGACTGTGCTTATTTTTTAATGAAATCAATGTCAGCATCTAGTTACTAATAAGAAACTCTCAATAACAGATCCTTGCAAGAAAGAAAGTTGTTTCAGCTTCAGGCTGATAAAAGGATTATTAGAAAACAGCTCTCTGTGTGAGTGTGCATGGCTGAATGTTTAAACAATCTTGAAAAATAATACTCTGAAGCCATTCACCTCAGGCTCATATAAAGACAGTCTGGTCCCACTAAAAGCCAGTGGGGATCTGGATCTAAATGTGATGGATTCAGGAGAAAATCTGGAACCAATGAAAATGTCTTTAAAAAGGCCACTCACCCACACAAATCATCCTTTTGCACCTCTGGTCATGTTAAGGTTTTGGGATAAGTTTCCACAGTAGTTTTTTTTTAATACTTACCCACTGCCAGCTTTCTGGGATTTTCTGCAATAGGATCCTGCACTCCGTGCACACTTACTGTGTAAAATAACAGCAGAAAAAAAGGGTTGACATAATGAGTCATTACAATTTAAATCTTATTACACAAAGCTTCATTTGAGTCAATATGCACAGTGCAGAACTGCAGGGGTGCCTTTCAGCCTGGGGAGAGAGGAATGAGGCACAAATTCTCATTATGGGCAAGGGAAGGGACACAAAATTCTCATTAGGGATAAAGGAAGGGACACCCAATTCTCATTGTAAGTAAGAGAAGGGACACCCAATTCTCATTGTGGATAAGGAAGGGGACACCTAATTTTCATTGTGGGGAAGGGATAAAAAATTCTCATTATGGGTAAAGAAAGGGACACCATATTCTCATTATGAGTAAGGGACACCCAATTCTCATTGTGGGAAAGGGAGAGGACACCCAATTCTCATTTTGGGTAAGGGACACGCAATTTTCATTGTGGGCAGGGGAAGGGACACAGCCCCACCTTCTGCAATCCCCTCGTGGTCCCCTAACCCACACCAGGCTGTGGCTGCTCCAGAGATCCCTCCCAGCAAATTCACTGCATTGCAAACTTTGGGTTTATCTGATGCAGAACTTTTTGGAAATGACCTTGCATTCACTCAGTGCAAAACTATAATTGACAGTGATGATGAGTCCTAATTGCCAGAGGAATAAATGGAGGCTTTCAGAAACTGGGAAGGGGAGGGACATAAACCACATTAGCATGGATCATGTATTTCCTCTCCTCTCATTATCTTTCCAGGCAGACTGCTGAATTTTCTCTTCCTACCCTCTCACTGTGGTCCACAGAAAGAGCTGTTACCGAACCTGGTCACACCTTTCTTGAATTTTAGGATATATTTTTAATTATTGCTTTTTAATAAACCATGCTAGCTTATATGCTTATGGTTTTAGTTGCTTGCTTTACTAATGACTTGTTCCAGCTAATTAAAGGAAATCTCCAGGAAATCTCTTTTTTCTGATAAGTAGGTTGCACAAACATCTTCAAGGAGAATGCATCCTTCCAGACATAAATCTGTACTTGGAACTGCCAAGTCTGTTTGCATAGGCTGGAGTGCTGTGCTTGTAATTTCAGTTTTATTTCATTATTGTAGATTCATGTGCGGTTGAAAAGAGATATTTATTATTAATTACTGGGGATTTTTGAAAGAGCATCTTGCAGAATATTTTTAATTATGGGCAATGCTACTGTAGATTAGAATTAGGCATAGATTTATTGGGAATATGCTCATCAAAAAGGGTTGAATTCCCAAAAAAGTGCATCCTAATTTTCAAGTTAACAAAAGTGTTTCATCTTTTAGTACTTCAGTGCAATTAAGGGATTTGATTTATGAATGTGCACCATCTGATCTTTCCAACTTTTAAATTTTTCCTAGTTTTTGCAGAAAAACTCAGTTTAATTCAGATAGCTTGCACTGCTTACAGAACTTTACACTTGGAGAAAATATCCAATTATCAGAGCATTATTTTGAAAACAACTTTGCAGCTGTTGTGAAAGCAAAGTCTAAATAAAATAAAAAAAAAAAAAAAACGAAAACCAGACTTTATTAAAGATGAGAGCTACACAGATCGTGTGTTTGAATTCATTTTCAGATGAAGTAGAAAAGCTCTCAGTAACCCCTGCACGGGCAGAAAGCAGAACAGCAGTGCAGTGCTGCCTCAGGATTGCCAGCATCCCCAGGAATTCAGCTTCCCTGCTGACACTCAGCAGAGCAGCACCCTTGTCCAAGGGGCTTGCAAAGGCACTTTGGCAAAGAGCAGGATTTCCACTGTGGCTCTGCTGTGGGCCTGGCAGAGTATTCATCAGCCTGTATTGATTTGGAGGGAGGCATGGCTGGAGTGAGGAGGATTGATCTGAAATCTCCCTTGGCTGAGTTAACTATTGAGGGATCTCTTCAGAGCAGGATGGAGCACTGAGGAGTGACCTGCAAGGATGGGAAATGTGCATCTCTGTCCCTTTGTTTTGCACTGTGAAGAGCTCTTGGGATTGGTTTTGCTTTTTTTTTTCCCTCCCTCCATTAGCTTTCAGAAACATTATCTTTGCTAAGTTTAGCATTCCTTGATTTTCCTGGGCAATTTTTCACGGAATTACAGAGCAGCACTTTGCTCTGAGATGATCTGGTAAAGGGATAAGGGACAAAGAGCTATTGACTTTCTATTCAAGCTGCAGTCTTGTGAGAAACTGAAGGTGGCAAAAGCTATCCACCAGCAGCCTGGCTCAGCTGGGAGTCCTTAGCCAGCCCCTCCTGTCCCCAGATGTCCCAGCATCTCCCCAGGGCATTTCTGTGGTCACTTTTGCCATCCCTTCCCTCCCCCTGTGTGGTCACTGAAGAGCTGGGCATGGTGACCCTTGCAGGTCCCTTCCAAATCAGAATTTCTGTCTCTGGGATTCTGCTTCTCTCCCAGAGGAATCTGCAGCTTGCTACCCTCCAAGACAGGACCACGAGCGAGGTGGCCCCAAGGAGGATTGTGCTTGCTGAGGGCTCTCCCCTGGAAAGCAGAGCCTGGGACCTCCCCTCTCTGTGTGCACCCGCCCAGCTCTGCCCTTCATCTCACATCTGCAGCACCTTTCTGCAGATCCTACAAATCCAGGCTTGGTTCAGTGACAGCCATCTGAAACCCTCCTGCAAGGAACATTTCTCTATTCCTCTCTTTGTACCTTCCCCTTTCTTTTTTCTCCTTATTTTTATTTTCCCCCCATTTCTGTCACTTCCCAACCCTCCTGCAAGGAACATTTCTCTATTCCTCTCTTTGTACCTTCCCCCTTTTTTTTTTCTCCTTATTTTTATTTTTTCCCCATTTCTGTCACTTCCTAGGTGACCTCTCGTGGCCTTTCCTCCAACTAATCATTTCATGAGCTACTGATCATCAAGTGCCACCATGGATTAACTTCTGATCTCAGCTTTTCACAGCACTTAGGGACAAACAGAGCCATTCTTTGTCCTGTGCTGCTCTTCACAGTCTGAAGGTCCTTTCTACACACAAGGCCATCCCAGGGTTTCCCCTGCAGTCTTCTTCAGGGAGAAATAAACACATTCTTCTTACCTGCTTCTCACCCCCTCTTTGTGGCACAGAAATGAAAGGAATTCAAAGGCAAGACCAAGAAGCTACAGTTTTGTATGTTTTGCAATAGTTTAAAATAAATATAAATATGATATTATAATTTAGAATCTTACCTTTAAAAGTAGATTATTCAGACCTGTCAGCTTCACAAAGGAATAAACAGCAGAAAACCTGAAATAAAGAATAAGCATGAAATTCAATGAATCTGAGTAGCTTAAGATCTCAAGATTTTTATTTCAATACTTGGATTACCTTGTCTCAAGATCTTTATTACTTTAAGTACTTCAGTCTTAAGAAACCTACATATAGGAACTTATTTTCCCCACTTATGGTGCTTTACTTCACATGATGGACTACCAGCTGTAAATGGGAATTTAGTGCCAGGGACCAGACTGAAGTAAATCTGAAGTAAAACCTCCTCAATGTGCATAATGTTGTTGTTGAATTTGCATTTCACGATAAAATAAATTAAATAATCAGACAGACCATGCCTTTGAAATTGTTAATCATGAGAGAGAAGGTGCAAACCTGCATTTGTATGGATTCCTGTGAAGGGAACAAAAGAAATCAGAGCCATTCTTTTAATGATTAATTAAATGAGGAAGGCTCTGTTAATATTCTGGTTCTCCCTGAAAGACACACAGGAAGAGAAATCCAGAGCAGTGAAGGATCTGATAACACAGCTGACAGTGTTTCTTTCCAAAAAAAAAATTGTGATATGACCCAAGAAAAAGCTCTGACTTCTGAGAGTTTTATTACATTTTATAAACTTCTCATCTCTGCTACTGAAACCACTAGACTACTTACTGTGTTAAAAATAAAGTGATCATTGCAGTGAGTTCACCTTCAAATCATCTCATATTTCTTCTATACTGCCTTTACATTTATGAGTTACAGCATATTGATTTCACCCTTCCCTTGCACTGAGTTTGACTCTCCCTTAATAGACAAAATGACTATTTGCTTTCTATAAATCCTACTATTTGTATTTCTTTTCTTTTCTGAGCTGTAATCTGTGACTTACAATAGGCCACTGCTCAGTGAAATGATGAGGTGCTAGCTCAGCCTTAATATTGTTCAAACAACAAAAAAAGCCCAAGTGCCAGCCTCTTGTTACCAGAGCTTTTCTCACTGGTGTCCTTTAAATTATCTGACTTCCCAAGCAGCAGAACAGAGCTTTGTGTTCACCTGAGAGCTGCTCAGGTAATTATCTCATGGCACATTTGATCCCCTCACAAAGCTCAGCGCTGGCTCCTGCTCCTTGCTCCATCCTCTGCAGCTCCAATTCCTCACTCCAATTCCTCATCCCAGTTCCTCATTCCAATTCCTTACTCCAATTCCTTACTCCAGTTCCTCATTCCAGTTCCTCATTCCAGTTCCTCATTCCAATTTCTCATTCCAGTTCCTCACTCCAGTTCCTTGTTCCAATCTCTCACTCCAATTTCTCATTCCAATTCCTCATTCCAGTTCCTCATTCCAGTTTCTCATTACAATTCCTCACTCCAGCTCCTCACTGCAGTGCTGTGAATCTCTCTAATTCCTCAGGGCTCTGCGTTCCCTCCCTCTCTGCCTGGACAGAACTTCGCAGCCCCTCCACCAAACCCTTTTCTCCTCCCAGGGCCTTCCTGGGCTCTCCGAGGTGCTCGCAGCTCTCCGAGCTGTGACCTGAGAGTTCAGTGCAAGCTCCATTTCCTGCAGGTGACAAGAGGACGTGGTCCCTACATTTCCTACGAGTGCACAGGTGTCACCGAGCCCCAGCAGCTCACCTGTCCCCTGGGCCTGCCTGCTCCCTGCCTTCCTGTTCCCTGCCAAAAGCTTTTGTCACATTTCTACAGCAGGGTGGAACTTTGACCATATCCATTTTTCATTAAGGGATCAGGTGACCTCAGTCACTTTTCTTTTTCTACTCTTGTGCAGAAAGAAAAAAAAAAGAATTTCAGGCAGGATAGAAAGCACTGCACACCATTGAGAAATATGGGTTTAAAGCAATAATTTGAGACAGAACTGGATGTAATTAGCTCATTATTCTTTAAAACTGGGCTCTCTCCTTCCCTGGGAATGGATGTGGAGCACGAAAGCAGCCCTGGCATGTGATGGAAACTCTGAACCTATTCCATTTAACCCTCAGCCTAAACCCACTTGCTACCAGATAAATTCCATTGGTGTGGTTGTGTTTGAGGGTCCCCAGGACGAGGGACCCTCAAACAAAACCCAGGATGAGATGAGAATCTTGATTCCGTGTTTCAGAAGGTTGATATATTATATTATATCATTATATTCTATTCTATTCTATTCTATTATATTATATTATATTATATTATATTATATTAGTTACACTAAAAGAAATAGAGAAATGATACAGACAGAAATCTAGAAAGGAATGGAATGGAATGAAATAACAAAAACTCATGACTGCTTAGAGAGTTGACAGAGCTGGACCATGGTTTGTCATTAAGTAGAAACAACTGACATGGATTAATCAAAGATGCACCTATAGGTAAACAACCTCCAGACCACATGGCACAGCCATCAGACAGTTATTGTTTACATCTCTTTTCTGAGGCTTCTCAGTTAGAATAGGAGAAAAAATCCTAGCAAAGGATTTTCATAAAAATATCATAGTAACACATTAGCTCTTAGGTGTGGGGTTATGGAAAGCTGTGGATGTGGGGAAGCATCCCAAGGAAAGGAAGGAGCTGCTTTGGGTGGAGGTGGAGGCAGGAGGAGGGCAGGCAGCATTGTTATCCAGCACACAGATGCAGCATGGCTGAACAGAGCTCTCAGGCCCTTTAATCTGTTTTTTGATCTTCTCTGAAATAGATCAAGGCAAAACCATCCCTTTCCTCATGATAAAGAGAACTGACTGGCTTCTCTGTGTTTAAAACCCCCTCCTGCTCTGGAAATTGGGCTCAGGAATGTCACCTGCTTCCTGCCCTGCTCTGTGCCCAGCAGCAAGGGCTGACCTGGCAGAGCTGTGGGGCCAGCCCTGCCCTGCCCCTCTGAGGAGCTGCAGTCACTGGGCACGTCCCTCCTGAGCAGGGCAGGTGGGATTGATCAAAGAAGCCACAGAGAAGGCCAAAAAGAACGGCTGAGGAAGAACTGAAATGTTTGTGCACCAGCTCAGTCTTTAAAACCAACCAGAGGAATGCTAACAAATGGTGCCAGTGGTGAAAGTTGATATTATGAGAATCAATGGAGAGCTGGTATGAAAAAACAGTGGTGGCTGGAGTACATTCATCAAAGTCCTTGCACGCCCAAGAACAGATAGTGCCATGGTGTATATTAAAGATGGACTAGGGCATAAAAATAGAGCAGCACAAGAAAAGAATCGATTTGGATCAAAATCACTCTCGAAAAGAATGATAAATAGTCATTGAGAGACTACAGGGATTCTTTCTGTGCAGTCCAAAAGGTTACTTTAGCCAGTGATTGATATCTTGATAGTATTTATTACACACAGGCACAAAACCCACCTGCAATTGTTTAATTTTCTCTCATTGGAGAGAAATGCTGCAGGCAGAGACAGGCACACATGTTCTGGGCTGTGAAAATTCTTGGGGTTCTTGAACAAAAAGTCACCAGACCCACACGGTGGAATGTCACTGGAGTCAAAGGTTTGGTAACCAGGGAAGATAATAAATGAGGGATAGAAAAATAACCTTGCTGATGACGGCATCCTGCTTGCTCATTTTAAATGTAATGAAGAGCAAAGAGGGGCCATGATAACATCTCCAGTTCCAGAAGGGCACAAGAAAAGATAAGAAAATATTCTTTCAGTTTATTTTGGGTCTCTCTCTTCCTGCGCTCACAGGTTTAATCCCTAAACTGCTTGAAACAAAGCTTTTGGAGAATGTAAAGCACAGCATGACCTATAATGAGGGAGCAGACTGTTATCCCAAAGTTTTCTCTGGTTCTTCCCCCATTTTATGATCCCTGGCAGTTTAGTATACCCCTGCCATATGCATGCACAGGTATTCACTTCAGTACCTAAAAATAATTCCTGTTGCACCTATTGACTTATGGATGCTAAACCCAAAACCTGAAACAGCTTAAAATTCATCAAGTTAAGAGCAGTAGCAGGGATACAGGGCATAAATCCATATTTTGACATCCTGGAGACACTGTTAAGCTTTTTGTTATCTTATTAAATTGTATCAGGCTTGCCTTGCAAAGAGTACAAGCAGGATTGATAAATGCTTGGCTTCAGCTACACTCTCCCATTTATTTTCACTCTGTCAGACTTAATCCATAACTGCTGCTCAAAGGCAATGGGCAGGAGATGAGGGTGCATCTTGACTCAGCTGGTAGCTGGCTACTGGCAGCCAAAAGCTACAAGAATTTGTTATTGGTATTATTATTCAGACTGCATCTTGACACCATTTATTTCCACTTTTTTTTATAATCTATTCCCTGAGGACAAACAATTTATAATCACGTTATTTAATTAGTTTTTATTTAGTGTCAATTTGCTTAATCTCATTGACCAGAAAGCATGGATTGTTATGGAAAGAGAAAAAAAACCCCAACCCTTAAAACAAACCCCAACCACAGCATCTGAAAAACACATGGGAGACATAAATGGAAAACTCTGATTGCTGGAGTTAATAAAAAAGTCATCTTTTACTCAAGCTGAAAGTGGTACAGATATTCCTACCCCATGGCCATGGACAAGCTTGATTTATTCTGAATATTTTAAGTGATGGAAGGGGTCTCACACTGGGTTTCACCTCAGATCAGTCTTTGACTGGAAACTTCTTCATTTTTTATCTGATATTTAATGCTAGGGACAGGAACAAATAAAGAAAGCTCATTTCCTCATGACATATTCACCACCCCAAAAAAATAAGCATTTTCCTTTGTCTAAGATCTCATTTTGGATCAGAAAATGGCAGAAAAATTACATCCAAACACACTTCCTTCAGTGAGCTGCCAGGCAGATGTAAATAAAACAACCAAATGTGGATTTTGAGCATCAGTTCTTCCCAGACAGCAGGGATATAAACTCCCTGTCACTGGAGAGCTTTTAGATTAGATTAGACCAGTCTCTTGATAAGCAACTCAAAATCAGTGGCAGCCACAGAGAATCCCCTTTGCAAGCTCAGCTGTAGAGGAGAGGGGAGGAGAGCTGGAGAGCCAAGAGTTTCCACTTTCTCATCAAAATCACACCAAGTGGCACCAAGGCATCCAAGCAGGAGGCAGAAAGAGAATCTGGCCTGCCTGAGAGAAAGTAAGGTGTGTTCTGAGAATATTCAGTCAGTTCCTGAATGATTCATGGCTAGGAAAACAAAAGAAATCAAACCAGACAGAATTTGTCAGTTTGCTTCCAAATTATTTCCGTCGGTGGATTGCTCGAAGTCTGTCAGCAGTGAATGTGGCACAAGTGCTGCGCTCGAGCTTCAGAGTAAATATTTAAAAACTTTATTCAAAGCAGAAAGATTGCTGATTCTAACAGACTTACCACTGCTTTGGTGCTGAGGGATGAGTTGGATGCCTTGCTGTGCCTCTGCAGGAAAACACCCGTGGTAGGGAGGACTTCTAAAACAAAGGGTAAAGGGGAAAAATAATGATTAACACAGAATGCAGAGGGAAATAATCCATTATTATCATTATTATTAAAAATAAATTATTATTATTGTTATTATTATTATTATTATCATCACTGAGTAGTACAGAAAGAAAATGTCCCTGCAGATCATGCTGAGGGTTTGTGCCATCCAGGCAGGTCTGTCACCAGACTGGGATGAGCTGCACTGCTGGAGTCCCCACAGATAATTGTGTGAGAGCACTTCTGTTCCAAAACCTCCGTACTGGGACTTTAAACCAGGTAATAAAAGTCCACGATATTACCTGGCAGGGACACTTGATGCTTGAAAGCAATTTTTTTAATTTTAAGAGAAATTCCCATTTTCACAGAGAATGCAGTCACAGTTGCCATGCAAGCTTTGCTTTTTTAGGGAACCTGACAGCTTTTATAGTCCTCAAAAGTTCTAAAGGTCAGCTGCTCTCCTGTCCCCTGCCCCTAATTTGGGCAAAGATCTGATGATCTTTGTTTTCCACTGCTCTGCACTGAGCTTTGCATGGCCTGGGAGAGCTCGGCACTCTGTCAGCTCTGCCACCTGTATTCACTCCTTTTAGGTAACACAAGATCGATGGCTCTAATATAACATTTTATCTTATTCCTGCTTTTAACATGTCTTGCTGCAAAAGTGCTCCATGGGGGGGGGAACTGTGTCACTCTGGCTGGATCATAATTTTCCAGCTGCTGCACTGCAAAGGGAGGAACACTCAATGCCACAGAGCCCATTGCTCTGTTTCAGCAGGTACATTTATTCATAGGGCTTGTTTATTACCAAGACACGTTAAAAGTGAAAATAAAACAAAATAAGTGTTTCTGGATGTTCCCATTCATCATCAGAATCTGTCTGAATTGAAAAGATGCCACTGAATCAAGCAACTATTTCCTTTATCCCTCGAGTTTTTGAGAAAATCTTATTAACAGAATCTCAATCACTCCCTTGATTTGGGATATAAAAAAACCTATGCTGATTCCTTGGCAATTTGAATTAATCAAATACAGTGTATTGTGCACATGCAGATAGCTTCTTTCTCCTGCAAGCTGCCAAAAGGTCTCAGAGTTTTCTGTAAAAGTGCTGCTTAATCTGCTCCAAACTATCAGTGCTGTGTTTTTTACCAGTTTCCACAACAAAATGAACAGAGTGATGCACCCCCTTGTCACCCCCTTGTCACCGGTGAGGGGGCTGCTGGTGGCTGCCACTCACTCACCACACAGCCCCTGCAAACAAAAAGCCTTGCACAGGAACAAGCTCCAGCTGAAGATGTTTGTACTTTTTCACAACCTTTGTTAACATTTCCTGCCTGTGAGCACCAACCAGGAGGGATCCAGCACCAGCAGGGCTGACAAAGTCCATGCCTGGTTCAGATTTCAGCAAAAATCTCACGTGTTCCTTATCTTCACTTAAATAAGGCATTCAACCATGTTGATTTAGGAGCAGTTTTGACCTGCTTAAATTACCCTCTCTCTAACCAGCTGATACTTAAGCTACAAATTACCCTGGGGGCAGAAGAGCAGTCGTGATCCCGAGAATTTGTTGTGCAAAAGGCTGAATGACCCACTTACACAGACAGAAAAAAATGGAGACAAAACTGAAGGAATTCTGTTGTGTGTCAGGAATATTGACCCCCATAAAACACAGTTCTCCCCCTCACACTTACTTTTCCAACAGCACAGCTACAGGAGAACCATTCTGAGGACTGCACCAATTGATAACCACTCTTTAATGCCATTTCAAAAGTTGGTGACACACCAGGGAAATGGAGCAGAGGATGAAGGAGTGGCAGCTCTGAGCTGGGAGCAGCACAGCAATGGGAAGATCCATTCCCTGTCTGTGCTCATTTGTTGAGACAGAATGGTGAAAGGAGTCCAAAACTAAGTATTCACATTCATTACCAGGCAAAAGAAGGGGGGAAATAATTTTCTCTTTACTTCTTTTGATTTCAGGAGTGATTAGGTTCACTTGTATCTCTTAAATTGCTCGGTAAGTGTTCTATCTTTCTCCTTACAATAAAAGGGATAATATATTTCATTGTAGCATTTTCACTCAAAGAGATTGGGATCATAAAGAACCAGGAAGAGGGGGGCAAGGTGGTGTTCTGAGGGCATTAGGATGTTTTAAGGGTTGTTTCACTTTCTGTCTAAAGCTCTCCATCACCCCTCTTCACATCCTGTAAATAAGAGAGCTGTTTCTCCTGAAAAACAGCATTAGTGGTCATTTTAGGGATTTTTTTTCAGGATCTATTATCCTCTGCTGAACTACTGCACACAATTCATCAGGAAATTCTTCAGTAGCATCAGTCTGAGTTAAATCTCACTGCACACCCCAGTGTTTTGTCACAAAGTAAAATGAATTATCATGGCAACAATGATTTGGAAGGTTCAAAGTATAAATTTTACTTCCAAGGAGCCATTTTATCCTGCCATCAATTCATCACCCATTTCCCTGACTCAGGTGTCAAGCCTAGAAAAGCAGTGTGTAATTTGGAATAGATCAATAACCATTGTCCCTGTAATTAATATCAGAAATTAGTATTATTGTGGGCATAAGGGCAATATCTGAGCCTCAAGGATGCCTCCACTCAGCTGTCAGCACTGCCAGTCAAGGGTGGTAACCAAAATTCCAAATTACATCAGATTAAATGGGCCCTCACATTGCAGCACTGTTGTTTTTAAAGTTATGCAACTGCACCAATTTTACAGTGCATGGTAAAGGTCAACAGATAAAATATTTGGAACTTTTACTCATGAATATATTTAATTTGCTCCTGCGAGTGATTTCGATTACATTTCACAAAATACATAGCTGCTCCTCATTTTGCAATTAAAGATTTCTAATAATGCAGTCGAACCTTCTTAATCATTGCTCATTCTAGCATAAAGCAAAGCTTGCTGTGTTTAAAGAGAACCCAGTCATCTTAGCAGCATCCCTTTTTGTTCCTTTTTATTTTATGAGATTAGAATACTTAATAACCTTTGCCATATCTGGCTGCAGCGCAAGTGTGAAGAAGAGTAAAACTCACACAGTGGATTATATGGCTGGGACAAAACTCAGCTCTGTAATTAGGTTTGGTTCTGTTGCTTAGGTTTGCAGAAAAAGTCAAAATTAATGGTTCTTTGCCTAAGATTCCCCTGCAGAGCCACATACAGTAATTAAGCATGCTTACAGACAGGCGTAGCATATGAATATTTGCCAAAACCATTGATTTTTTTTTTCTTTGTTAAGATCCCATCATTTTTGAGGAAAACAAATAGAAATACTCAGTGCCTAAACAGTCATCATTTTAAATGCCAATAATGAAGACACTAAAATAGTCTTGGAACACTCACAGACCCTGACACTCATTCTTATACAAACTCAAGCTGGTCTCAGATATTTAAAGTCCAGAGCTGGTGCTGCAGAACAGTCTTGGGGCTGACCAGAGACCCCCCCAAATCCCCAAAATTGAGCACAGAGTTCTTTTAAGAGAAGCTTCATTTTCATTAAAAAGAAAAATGTGTTCAGGCAAGTTGATGGAGAAATGAACCAATTTGAATGTATTGAAGTTCCTCGCCGTGCTACAGTGCTTTTTAAATGGTGTCTAAACAGTTGGTCACAGATTTATTTATGTTTCCATGTAAAGAAAGAAAATATTGTCATTTCCTATATGGGAAACAGTTTCCCTAATTATTTGGCTCCTTCTTCTACTACATAAACAGCAATTTGTACCCCTCTCCTTCAACTGGCTGCAATTAACAGCTACATTGCAATAAGCAGATTATGTTAATTAAAAACTCAAAACTATGTAAACAATGGGAAAGCTGACTAGCCATTTTCTATTTTTGCCAACTGGGAGGAACACAAGAGAAATTAGCACCAAGCTTAATTTTGCTGTTTATAATTCAACTTATTTGTAACAAATTACAGCATTTTAAAAGTATTTTTCAACAATTAACTGTATTTCTCTACACTATTTGAACCACATTCCACTTGACAAGTTTACATCAGTACAAACTGGGAGGGGAAAATAATGTCAAAAAAAAAATCTAGAAAGGTGTTAGGAGAACAGATTTGCACACATCATCACCAAAGTGGAATATTAAACACAAGTTTCCTACCACGCCTGAGCCACACTCTCAAAAGTGTAACTTAGTTCTGCTTCTCTGGCAAAAATCAGTTAAACACAAGTTTCCTACCACGCCTGAGCCACACTCTCAAAAAGTCATAGCTAAGGACAAAAGTTCTGCTTCTCTGGCAAAAATGAACAAACTCCAGGAATAAACATTACCCAGCTGACACCAGTAAATTGTGAATTTTTCCCATGTTGCCGCAGTTTCTCAGAATTTTGGGTTTGTCCTTCCCTTTCCAGACCAGGATTGCTTCAGGAGAGTGGGAGTCAAAGGTGGAACTGTAAAATATTTGTGTTTCCAGTGCTCCTTTTGACCGTGTATTCAATGGGCAACTCTTAGACTTTCTGTGCAGGAGTTGGACTTTGATGATCCTGTTCTAGGATACCTCTCCTTATCCACACTGAGGGGATGCCACCACCAAGGGAAACAGAACAGAGAGGCTGTGCAGAGAGATTCATTGACTGAGAACTTGCCCTTGACCAGACTTTGAGAAAAAAAAACAAAAAAAACCAGAAGAAAGAACAGAAAAAAGAACTGTAGCCCTGCTTCTATGTCATCCAGGAAATACTCCAAGTGCATGAGGGAGATGGCTCATTTCCTTCCCCTGGTCTGCATGGCTGGAGATTGCACATTGACCACAAAGAGGAGAGCACCAGGGTGGGGAATGGTCATGGATACAGCTGAGATGTTGGACTGTTTCCAGGTTGTTTTCTTTTTTTTTTTCAAAGACTGGGTAGAGAAAGAAGATGACAGCACATGGAAAAGCTGGGACCAGAATTTCAGAGTGGCCGATATAAAAATACCAGTTCAGTGCATGGTTTCAATTACAGCCCTGAACTAAGCTGCTTTAGGAAA